TCACATCTGAAAAAATCATGATTAAATCCTCTCATGTAATTAAATTCCTTATACAGCCGATAAACAAATGGCCGCCATACAGTGCCTGAATTCTAATTGGCTAATTCAAATGTAAGCATTTAACCAAGTCAGAAAATTGTAACAGAATATTATTTAACGAAATAATTGCCCACGCACCGTCAGCGTGTTTGAATATATTTTTCTGTTCAAAAATTTGGAATCAATCTGTAAAGCACCTTACTTAGCCAGTATAGCCGATAGACAAAAATAGATCAATGTTTATATGTTTATGTAAGGTTCCAAATTATCATACTTCAAAGTCAAACAGAAGTCTAAATATTCCACTTTATTTTTTTAAATCATTAAAAATTATTGAAAGCGGCCATATTGGAAAAATAGAAGGAATGACGCAAGCGGTGTCACGGTAAAATTGTGACATTTCATGGTGTAACACAGGTATCGGTGGCAATTGATTGTATACGCAAGCCTTATAATACAATTTGTTTATGTTATTGGTGTGAATTATTGCAGGAATAACTCTTATATTCGCACACGAATATTTCAGCATTAAAAATAAAATGTAAAAAGGAAATTCTGATAACCTTACTTAGAAATTAAATAGTTTATGATGTCCGACATAAGATCATACTGCATTTAAGTCTGTTTAAATAAAATTGTCAAATTGGAAATTATACAGTTGTGTTTTTCAACATCTGTGATCATTAGGTGAAATTTCTGATTCCCCACACACGAAAATACAACGTAATTTTAAGTACATCTTAATGAATTATATTATAAATACTATACATGATGAAGCAAAGAAATATTTCAATTTGTATTACACTCCATATCAATTTCTAGTTTATTATCTTAAAAACAATATTGAGGAGAGTTGCATAGGAGAAGAAGTTCAAAGCAACCAAAAATAACTTAAAAATTCTGAAAAAACCCTTAAAATTTCACATTATAAAATGAAATTTCAGACTGGCCTTTTCTCAAGTTAAGAAATTACAGCTCTCAGTAAATTGTCGCACAGATATGACGGGGTTTATGATAAAAACGCAGCAAGTGGGAATTTAGTGACCGTAATTTAGACGTAGAAAAACATAACAATGTAAGACAGATAGTCTGTTTATTAAATTACTGTAGTCGTCTGTAAGAACGACTGTCGCAAAATTCCATGTTATCTAGTGCCCGCTTTTCATTGAACGGCACCTCGAATGTGTCAATTTGAAAGTTCCATGATTACCTCCGTATTTTGTACACATCTGTGGGTGTTGACTAAAAATTTCAACATTATTATGTTTAAGTGATGTTTAAACCGGCGCAATGGAGCACTTGCACCTACCAGAGCCGTCTTTGGCACTTATGTGTATTTATGTTTCGGTTTTGCAGTTTTAGGGGTTTTTTTGGGGGGTTTTAAGACGGGGAGATGGGTGGATAAGTTTTTTCTATTTTCTTTACATTTCTTTGCTTGCTTGCCGAACCTTGTATTAATAATCATTATGTGTTTGTTACGGTTCGGTAAACATGTATAAAATATGTTAAACAAGATGAACAAGGAAAGGTGACGTTCAATGAACGCAACCCCAACACGACCCACGAACAAGAACCATTGGCAAGGAGCCCAGGAGCATCCTAAACAAAAACAAGACAGGGCGCAAGGGAGAGCATGGTCAGGCTTTTTACTAAAATGATACATATGAAGAAATAATGGTAACTGACAAGGAAATCAAAATCAAAGAAAATAAATAAATGAATGATTAATAGGGCGTCTAAGTAAACGAGCACATGGGAAGAGGATAGGAAATTCAAGGAAGGGGGAGGGGGCGAAATAAAGAAATAAAACTAGGGGCAAAGGGAAGACACTTACCATAGACGAGAAAACAAGGGACACAAACAAAAGTGTCACCAAAACAGTATAAAACAACAAGACATACACCTTAAACATGTACAAGTCTCTTAATCTGTTCATTTGAAAATTCTTATCTTCTAAATGACCTTTTTTTAATATCCTCTATTTAAAATATATTTCAATTAAAATATGTGACCCTTCCCTTATAGTTACACAGCATATGGCTGGATCACAATAAAGTTCCTTTTTAGTAAATTAATAAAGTATGTCAAGAAGACATTAATTTTCATCAGTAGGTTTAATATGGTATTATTTATCGGTAATCGGTGAAAAGAACTCTTGAAATATTATTTGTACAAATACTGAATAATTTGATGTGCATTTAAATAGTTCCCATGAATATTTCTTTTACGTTCTTAATTGTCATATAAATATGCATGTATAAATGAAGTCAGTATTTTATGCGAGAGTGACATTGGCAGTCATTAGCAGTAAACAAGAAGGCAAACCACCTATTGATAAATGTTGAGCACATGTATTAAAACATTTAAAAAATATTAAACAACAGTACTTGTACGGCTATTTGCTACCATTGCATTTTATGTTAAACACATTGGTATTTTTTCATTAGTATTTAATAATGAACAAATTTATTACAAAATAATGAATAGATTTATTTCCCCAATATTTTTTTGCAAGTTAATCTTCCTGCATTACCCAAACTTACCTGCTAGACACACTGGTAGGTACTACCAGCTTTCACGGAATCGATTTTTTACGATAGTCATAACATGTCCGCCAAAGATAATGTAGACAGTTCAAATTTGAAATAAATCGCATGTATGCATTAAGACAGGTACAATCTAATATTTTTTCAAGGAGAAGTTAGTACAAGAATTTATATTCTATTGATTTTTATAGGACATTGAAGTTACTTTCATGTTTAAGCAGTAAAAATCAGTCCAAACTATCGATAGTGTTGCCGATAGATTTTCCTTGCCTAAAAATAACAGTTAAAATTAGGCGTAACGGTTTGATAGTAAGAAAAAAAAAGTCTGTAAAATGGGTCAAACCGTTCACGCCGAATTAATTAGGCTAACGTCAGGCTTGACTGACATAAACTATAACAAGCCTGTAACATCTGATATATTGGACTAGGGCATGCCCTTTCCTGTTTCACAGCTTTGCCTACTTTCATATTTAACAATAACATCTGCATTAACACAAACACAGGTCATAAAAGAAATACATTATAATCATTATACTAATGTAAATGCACAATTTGAATATTAGTATTCTCTTAGTCTTACCCCACCCACCGAAACCACACCTATAATTTTAGGAATGACTTTGCTAGTATAAATTAAGGAAGCTATTAATTCTAGGATATCATACCGATGGGTATCCTGGCTGAGGATAAGACCTCATTTGTGGGACTTGGGACGGATATCGCTGGGGCTGCTGCATATCAATTGAATTTTCTTTGTGCTTCGCCGACGCCAAAATAAAACATCAGTATCATTTAAATGCTTGGTAATTTGAGATTTGATAATAATTGTGACACGTGCCGTACCGTACCGTATACTGACTGATGTAAATATTCATTATTTCATACCATTGTTTTATTATCAAAAATTTATAATATTCCAACTCCATACAACTCATTTTAGTCCAATGAGCATAGATGTTACATTTTCTGCAAAAAATAATGGGTTTAAAGACACGTGTGGATTTACAGACAGTTCACCCCTTAGTCACTTCACCCTGGCCCACTTCAATCCCCTTTTATGAAATTTGATTGACTGATTGAGACACTTCACTCCCCTTTCATACATAGTCAAATTATGGTTATTAAAAAATAAATTTTTCAATATATTTTTGTTTGTATCTTAAATGTATACCTTACAAAATAGAAAAATTATTGTCGTTATTTTCAAAAAAGTGTTACCACTATGACATTTTTGAAATAGTAAATAAATATGATCATAATTAAATGTAGCTCTACATTTTCAAAAATATTATTACAATTAATAATTGCAATGAAAGTTTAACTGTTTAAAATAACTTTCTATTATTCATTTAAAGGGTAACTGTATTATTTTTTCAAAGATATATTTGACAAAACTCTAAAGATCCTGTATGTTGTATTTAAGGTTGTTAGATACCACATTTAAGTGAAATTTTATATATGTATATTCCACAACATTTTTTTTAAACATCAAAGAATATGTAAAATATGTACTGCAAATATTTGTCCACATTATATGTTATCATTAAAATATATGCATTCATTTCTTTTTGAAAAATTTGACTTAGACTTTATAGAAAATAAATTTCTAATTGCCTCCCTTTATTAGCATTTCTAATTATTATCATAAAAATGTAAATTCGGTGATATCTATACAAATAATGCTTTTTGGAACTTACAATATTGAATATCTTCATTTGAGCATTATATTTATGATATAAAACCTTAAAAATATTGAATAACTGGATCTTTAAATACAAATTCCTTTCACACTTCCTTTGTTCTTTAATTGACATGTACATGCACTACCTTGATAGTGTACTGTTTATGTTGAAAGTTATACATACATTTATTTGTCAGCAATTATAGACATTGTAGCTGCATGTTTATTGTTTTTTTTTTCTATTTGCATATGTCTTTCATGTTATATTTACATGATTTAATATATTAAAGTTCCAATTGTATACATGTAAACTGTAAAAAAAATAATTGCTGTCATTTATTTCATGTTGTATGGTAAAGTTCTTTCAATAGTCTCAAATGATATACTGTAATGTAATTATGTTTATAAACGTTATAAATCTGTCTCTCTAAATACCGAATATGAACTCATATTCGCCAATATGAACAGGAGTACCGAATATGAATTTTTTCTTTTTAAAAATCAGCTGTTTTGGGAATTTTTCGTCAACATAGACTAGTGTCATAATTATGTCTTTGGTTAAATACTTAATCAGAAATTACTAAAGGCACATTTGTTATTGAAATACTTACTCTATATATAAGAAGAATCTTATCCTAAAACGCATTACTTAGCCTTTATATAAACACAAATAACGCTCATTTACATACATGTATGATATAATTGTTTTGGCTTATTATACAATTTTGTAACGTGTACGGACAGACTTTAGAAAAAGTATAACAAGCGTTTGACAAACAGAGATGCACAAATAATTTTGAGAAATGCAAAAATATGAAAAACTTGAGAAAATTGGGGAAGGTATAAATTTTGAAAATTAAAATCATTATTTTGAAATGACTATACCATTGAAAGGTTGTCTTAAGTTGTAAACCAAGCTTACATAATGTGATATGACAATCGGCCTCATTTCAATTCGCACCTTAGATGACTCGACCAGCACTCGTTTTTTTTTTTTTTTTTTTTTTTTTTTTTTTAAATCAGCATTGTGAACTTCTTATTTGTTGCCCTTTTTTGTTTTAATCATAACAAAAACAGTTTAATGATATTGTTTTATGTAACTACAGACTTCCCGAAAGTTGAAAAAAACTGTCAGACATTCGGTCTGACAAACCATGAAAATCTGCCGGACCGAAACAAAATCTGTCGGACCAAATAAAATTGATCAAAATCAATGAAAAACTTGTGTTTGTATTTCTAAGACACTTTATGTTTTTTATTTTTTTGCCGTAAAAATCGGCACAATCCGTACAGCGCATTTTCATCTCCTCCCTGTCATACACCAATGATTCATGGTTCTGCTTCCATTTTTCATTTAATTTTGTCTCCGGTCTATTCTTTTCATCCATTTATTGCTGTTCTGCGCACTCTTCTGACGTAGATTTTCGTTTTTTCCCAGGTTTGGCACCTTTCTCGACGCCATTTTGTATACATGCGGCTTGGATAAAAGCCGGACAGTCGGACCGATCCGGAATAAAAAATTGTCGGACCTGATCAATATTTATCGGACATGTCCGTTGGACCGACGTATTTCGGGAAGTCTGAACTAGATAGATTTAATACAGGGAAGTCAAATGCCGGGTCCGCGAAGCGGGGCCGGGCTTTGGCTTGCCCGGCTATAGACTACACGTGTATATTTTAAAGAAAATCAAATGAAATACATTTAAAAATATATAGAATTCTATATCTATCAATGAAATTTTCAGTGTCAGTACTAGTGGAGCGCCGCCATTTTCAATGTATTTCAATGAAATTAGGCGGGGTAATCCGATAACAGAACAAATCTCAACTTTACGGATTAATAATTATCGAGTGTTCAGAGTGAAAATGGAAGTTGTATATGAAATACGGGATAACATCTTTTAAACGGAAAAATGAAAGGATTTTTACCGACTTCCCCGTTCAAAGGCTTTGCCTAATTTCATATTAGAATACAGTGCAACCCTCATCTTCATATACCCACAATTGATTAACATTGTTACATGCAATCAAGCCGCGGCTACGATTTATCAATTTGCCTGGATATACAGCAACAGGTGCATCAAATTTATTGAACTTTTTACATCTGAATTTATTTGGTTGCTGCAATTTTGTCTGTAAAATATTGTATAGAAAGAGCCTTTTGAATCATGTGGCAACCAATTTACAAATTTGAAAACCTGGCTAAACGCCATTTTCCGGTACTTTCTGTATGTAGCTCTGGGGAATTCACCTAATGGAGTGTAATAGCTAACTCAAAGTTTTCGGCCTTTTTTTAAATTAAATTGAAATAAAACAGTTATTTCTGTATAAGAAAATAATTAAATATCATTGTATGAATAATTCCATACAAAAAATAAAGTAAATACACAAGTTTAGAAAATAACCTTATTTATTATGGAAGATTCCACTATGTCTCTTTAAATTTTATTGATTTTCATTATAGACAATTTATTTTTTGAAAAATTTGCAATAGATATAAAAGGGACATTGATTATTTTCAAACACATCAAGTTTTTCCACCTTAAATGGTAAAATAATGATAGAAAAACAGAAATATCATGTAAGAGTGTTATGTACTTCATTATGTGTAATTCCCCAGAGCTAAATCCGTAACATACTGGAAAACAGAGTTTAACTAGGTTTTCGAAAAGGTCAATGAAATAGCTGTCTTTTACACACCTCAAATCAACTGGATATTGGCCAAAAATACCAAGGCTGATATTAAAATGTTTATGGTTCGACTGTGGGTATTCAATGATGTGCAACCCCTAAGACTAACTCCACCTCTAAACTAGCATGGCCCCCAGTAATCCAGACATTGACACTCTAGTTTTCAACATACTGCCACCATTGTCACCATTATCTAATTCTCCAAGAAACCCTACTCAAACACCACCAAAGGTTACCCCCTCTTCAAGCAACAGTACAGTATGCCATGACGAACATTTAATGTACAGTGACACAAACGAGCATATATGGAATGGTCAGCAGTAATCAAACGGTCCAACTAACTGTGTGTTCTATTTATAGATATTTTATAAGCTTAAAGACTGCTGGCAACATTCCAGATTTATGTTATTAATAGTAACACATGTTACTATTTATAGTAACACACGTAACTTTTTGTTACCTCTTTTTTAGCACTTTAATGATAAATTTTATCTATTATTTGTCCTGATGAAGATCATTGTAATGATCGAAACTAGTAGACTTTATTAAATAATTTTAACCTATTACTTAGGAGGTGACATGTGGTTTCTCTTAGTCCTCCTCTAGTTTATTTCTAATAATATTATATAATAAGTTAGGGAAAAATTAGTTCAGACCACTAAAAAAAAATGAAAAAAAAATGTCAAGGGCCATTGATTTTTACAGCCGGTAAGCAGAATTGTCAGCTAAAGACAAAATAGTTAAAGGAAATGAATCAAATCGAAAACTGCCTGAAACCGAAATTGAATCAAACTTTTGGTGTATCGTTGCAGCCCTAGAAAACACTTTTCAGTTCTTCAAAAAATCATCAGAATATATAATTTGTTACTTAAATCTCAATGAAAAATTTATTCAATTACTGCTCTCTAAATTGGTACCAACTATTCATTTAAAATTTGTTTTGTATTTGTTATTTATTTGGCGGACGTGTTATGGCATCATCATAAAACAAATGATTCTGTGATTCTGTAAATAAAATAAATATTGCTAATCCGGTCTCTATAGATTGGCAAACACTGGAGGCAAAATAAAGACTGTATTAAAATAAAATTTTTTACTGAAACAATTGAAATGTTAATGACTGCTTAAGAACTGAAAAAGGCTGATAAAAAGATATGTGTAGCTGTTCTAGAGGTGTAATGTTTACATATGCTTCGGTTAATATTAAAGATTGTAGATTTAATACTTTATTACAGTTGAGACAGAAATTATGTTGGATTATGTGATATCTATCACTGGTAAAGTGGGCCCATTTCTTCCTTTCATTTCTAGAAAAATGCAGTTTGTGGTTTGACCTGGGAGAAGACATCACCCATTCAAAAAATATCTTGACTCTTTGACAAGTCTTAATTAGTTGGACTAGACAGAGTTTTAAGTTCAATAAATCAAGGGTCTCTTGAGTAACATATGTATGCAAGTAGTGGGGAAAAAATCTGCAGTTTTTGTTCTTTCTTTTTTTTTCCTATAAGATTTTTTAGTTTAACATCTAAACAATGTTCCAATTTATTAACAATTACTCATTTCATATAAATGATCTTGAATATTTTAATAAGAAAATTATTCCTAAATTCAACTATAGAAGTCAATTGAAATGATTCACCACTCACTAGTTGAATTCACGAATTCGAAAACCTAGCTAAACGCCGTTTTCCGGTACTTTCTGTACATAGCTCTGGGGAATTCACCTAATGGAGTGAAATAGCGAACTCGATGTTTTCAGCCTTTTTTAAAATTAAATTGAAATAAAACAGTTATTTCTTTATAAGAAAATAATTAAATATCATTGTATGATTAATTCCATACAAAAAATAAAGTAAATACACAAGTTTACACAGAAAATAACCTTATTTATTATGGAAGATTCCACTACGTCTGTTTAAATTTTATTGATTTTCATTATCAACAACTTATTTTTTGAAAAATTTGCAATAGATATTAAAGGAATATTGATAATTTTCAATAACATCATTTCTTTTCACCTTAAACGGTAAAATAATGAAACAAAAATAGAAATATCATGTTACTGTGTTATGTTCTTCATTTGGTGTAATTCCCCAGAGCTAAATCGGTAACGTACCGGAAAACGGTGTTTAGCTAGGTTTTCGAAAAGGTCAATTCATATTGAATTAAAATGGGATATTATAGCTAAAAACCTGATCATTGTTTCAGTGAGATACAGCGAATGAACCTAAATGGCATTTCACCAATTTAACTTCCATTAATGATTACAATTTTTTTTATTTAAAAAATAAAATAATTTAATGATATCCTTATATCCTGATATAAATATGTTTCATTCTTCCAATAAAGTAATGATGACTCTTACAAAGTACAATGCATGTACTGTTATGAACAAAATAAGTAAAGATGATTATAATAATTAAAATAACAAATATTCACTATCATATCTTGCTTATTTATTATGTGACCTTGCCATTAGTTTTGAGAAATTTGCTGACATTCATATCTTTGCTTAAATGTAGAATTAAACTGCTAATTACTCATTTAAAATATCTCCAACAAATCAGATCCACTAACTCCAGAATGTTATTTATTAGAAATTAAGAGGAAAATGAAGGAATACAACACATCAACATCAATGCAGGTTGAGGTCATTTATTCTCCACTGGTTTTGTTTCTATTGAACCTTCATCAGGGTTATTATATATATCATATGGGACAGTGTCTATGTATTGAACATTTTTATACCACACTACAATTACATAATTATTTTGTATGCAGTGTGTAAATTAAGCTACTCTAGCATTCTATGAAACAGCTGCCGATATCCTGATTGAAGCCAAGGGAAGTGGCCCAACAGAGTAGTAGGCAGGGACAACAACTTCAAGGAAGGGTACTTTAAAATATGCAGTGATGGCTTAAAAGGCTTTCCCTTTGCTTAGCACCAACAGCCCTGGTAACCTCCTTCATTATTGTCACAGGTAACTGTATGTTTCAACTGTAAAGTGACCTACATTTGGCTCAAACTTTCAGTGGTAATCTCAAATTCTTGCGGCTGCCAGATGTTTCTGTCTATATACAGGCTAAGATTTAATTTTATTTTGAAATTTAAACAAAAAAGTTAGATATCAATGGTTATTAGGACTTAC